ATAGTCAATGACTACGTTTCCACCGAGGGTCAGAGTCGGGCTGGAGTCTGGTCAGAATCGGATTGGGGTCAGCGTTTTTGCGGTGGAAACACCAAACCTCAATCCGATTCTGACCCGACTCCAGCCCGACTCTGACCCTCGGTGGAAACGTAGTCATTGAGAGCGTTCGCCGGTGGCCGGCGCTACGTAACCTCGTCCGACGTTCTTCCTCCGAAATCTTGGGCTGGTTATCCATAATCCGTTCTTATATTTGAGAACATCTTAAGTATATACTAGCTATTAGTGTATTTTGAACCAATCACAGGAGCCGTAGTAGTCTCTTAAGACAACACTCAAGGTGATTTTGAAATAAGAATCGGCTATGAGTACCGGCCTAAGTCCCAATCCTCCGAATCCCAAGGCCTCGATGTGATTTTGAAATAATTAAGAATCGGCTGTGAGTACCGGCCCAAGTCCCAATCTTCCGAATCCCAAGGCCTCGATGTAAGTTTGTGAACAAGGAACTTCGCTAGAATCTTTACTGAAAGCTGCTTGCAGAGATATTTCTGCTCCTTCCCGACACATCCTTCCTGTTATTATTTTCTCAACATTCCTTCGCGAGGTAGAATATTGCGTTTTTGGCAGGCCCAGAAGTTTTATAACCCAGACAGCACACATGTCTAAAAGACATCTTTAAGACGTCATTAAGTTATCTTTTAGACATGTACGTCTAAAAGGTGTCTTAAAGATATCTTTATGGCGCCTTTTAGACATATGTGTGCTGCCTGGGTAAAAATCAGCGTGGCGTCCTCGACGCTGAACGCTACGTCCGATAGTTGAGTTTTAATCTGTCTCCAGTAGCAGAGAATGCAACCCCAACTAGGTACGTCCCGATAACCGGCAGCGACGCATCGTAGAACAGGCTTTAACCTTGTACGTTTGGATGTTGAAGCAAGACGAGGCTGACGTCTGCGTCGGCTTGTCTCGCTAAATGGAAAGCACCATCGGCTGAGTAGAATTCTATGCTCGTCAAATGCTACAGGAGCACTCGACCCCGACGACTCACGGCATCGACAAAGATCGGCGACATCCGCTCCTTTCAGCCGCGCGAAGGAAAAAGAAGAAGTCTCCCTCATTTTCCTTTTACAGCCGTGCTTCAATTTGAGCGCAGAAAGTACAGGTAAGGGAGAAAGAGAGAGAAAACGCGACCGCGGGGTTGGAGGAGAAGAAGGAGGAGGAGGAGGAGGAAGCGCTTTGCGCGGAAACGATCACCCAGCGGGCAGGCGTCGGGTTGCCAAGTGGAGGGGGAAAGGAGGTGCGCGAGCGCAGCGGGCGCACGCAGGCGCGGTGGGAGTGAAACCGTTCGCGGGATCGGCGGCGAAGGGATCGACTGGCTGGCTGGCTCGCTCGAAGGAAAACAGGTTCGCGGCGGTGCGTTTACGCGCGACTGACGTGTCTCGGTGCGACGTCGGGAATCTCGCGAAAAAGGGAGAAACGATCCGCCGTCGGGTGCTGCCCGGACCCCACGACCCGCGCCGCGAAAGGAGAGAGAGAGTTCCCGGAAGCGGACGATAAGCGGAGATCTGCGGGAGTGCGCGAGTGCGGGTAGCGGAGCAAGTCGCTCGCGGACGCGAGTGCTGCTCCGGAGGGGCAATCAATTTCCACGTAGCTGCTGCGTGCGTTTACGGTGTTTGTACGTGCGTGCGCGCGCGAGCGAGCCGAACGTCGCCGGAGACCGCGGCAGACTTCGGAGGTGGCGGAGCGTCCCGAGGAATCACCGTGACGACAGGAAGAACCGTCCACTGGCAGCTGCTGTCACCGAGAGACGGGCGTCGTGACGGCGGCAGCGAGGCGACGTAAACGGGACAGCCCGCGGGGAGAGGGCACGCCGAGCGCGCGTATGCTGCAAAATCTCGAGAGGACTTGGCGAATGGGGCCACGGGTACGTCGCTGAAACGAGAAAGAGGGCGAGCGAGCGAGCGAACGAGAGAGAGAGAGAGAGACCAGCGTCAGCGCGACACAACGCGATTGTTTGCGCGTGTCACCCCCCGCCTCGGCGACTCGCGATGCAATTCCGCTGCATTCGCATACAGCGATGTTGCGTGAGAACGAGCCTTATGTTTACGATAACGCGTGACGATTAACGCCGCGGCGCCTCTTTCTATAGATATAGCCTGCTCTCATTCTATAGATATACATATATATATATCTCTCTCTCTCTTTCGGCCGCGCCTGCGATACCTAAAAGCTCCGCCGAGAGGCTCGCGCCCGATCGCGATCCTCCGTTCACGCAAGTACGCGTATCGATCTACGCGCGAGTATCCGTCTCGCGGTCGCACGCGCTTTCTTTCTCTCCTACCCCTTTGTCCTCCCCCCTCCTCTCGCCCCGCTCCCCCTCCCTCTTCTCCTCCGCCGCCGCCGCCGCGGGCGTCCTCGCGCTCGTGAAATTACGCGATGACTCCTCGGCGTCGTGCGTCGTGACGGACGCGACGCGGAGACACGTCGCTCGCGTCACGAGAGATCAATTAATTTCCGTTGTGCCACCAGCAGGTTGACGTATGAATGGTGCCGGGGTCACAGGGACGCACGCCACGTACGTGAATCCACTTGACAAGATGTCAACGACCACCACCGGCGTCAGCGACTTGGTCGCGGATCTCCCCAAGGAGGGGACGCCGATCTTCCTGCAGACCCGCGCGGCTCAGGTCATCGCCGGTGTGTTCGTGTCCGTGGCGCTTTTCCTCACCTGCCAACAGGTAACAGGGGGGGAGGGAAGGAAACCAAAACACCGTCGAGAGACTGGCGGAAACGACTATCGACGCACGCACGGTGGTCACGATTGCACCCTCTGTTCCTTCGCAGATCTATCAGCACCTGAGGTGGTACACGAATCCCACGGAGCAGAGATGGATAGTGCGGATCCTGTTTATCGTGCCCATCTACGCCATCTACTCCTGGATCTCGCTGCTGTTCTTCAACAGCGAGAGCTACTACGTTTACTTCTTTACGGTGCGGGACTGTTACGAGGCGTTTGTTATATATAACTTTCTGTCGCTGTGCTACGAGTACCTAGGCGGTGAGGGTAACATCATGTCCGAGATCAGGGGCAAGCCGATACGCTCCAGCTGCCTGTACGGCACCTGCTGCCTGGTCGGCAAGACCTACACCATCGGCTTCCTGCGATTCTGCAAGCAGGCCACCTTGCAGTTCTGCCTGGTTAAACCGGTGATGGCGTTCGTCATCATATTTCTGCAAGCCTTCGGCCACTACAGAGACGGCGATTGGTCACCGGACGGCGGCTACATTTACATTACGATCATTTACAATATTAGTGTCTCGCTTGCGCTTTACGGGCTGTTTCTGTTTTACTTCGCCACGAGAGATCTGCTGACGCCGTTTGAGCCCGTGCTCAAGTTTTGTACAGTGAAGAGCGTCATCTTTCTGTCGTTCTGGCAAGGTAACGTCCGCAATTACCACTTTTGCACAAGCGCGTCGGGCACAGATGACAACGAATACCTCTTTTTTTTTTTCCTACGCAGGGGTTCTGCTGGCCATCCTGGAGAAGGCGAATGTCATTTCGCCCGTTATAAACAGCCTGGGCCAATCGACGAGCGCCGGCACGGTCTCCGCCGGCTACCAAAATTTCCTCATTTGCATCGAGATGTTGTTCGCCGCTATAGCTTTACGTTACGCGTTCCCGTACCAAGTATACGCAGCTGGCTGTGTTACTGACTCCAGAGGTAGAAGTGTGACGATGCAAAGTATCAGCAGCAGCCTGAAGGTACGTATGACGCGTTTCTCAATTCTGCACGGGCTATCTTCGTGGTTAATTTGATACGCTCAATACTCTATTCGCCGATGGCATTTTGTAGGAAACGATGAATCCAAAAGACATTATGACCGATGCCATCCATAATTTCCATCCACAGTACCAGCAGTACACGCAGTATAGCGCAGGTACGCATCCACCTTCGTACTATGATTTTTTCAGTTTCTCGTACGCCTTGCTATATAATTATTTATTAGTACATGTATTTTTTATAATTTTTCATATTTTACAAATTGCCCAATCTTCATACAGCATGGCATAGTATGCGATAAACGACTCGTCTCATCTACTCAACGTTTTTGTATGTGTCGTCTCGTACAGAAATTACCTTTTTTTTCCTCGTGCATTCATAAGAAAATGTCACGTTAAAATAAGGCTGTGAATGTTCTAATTATAGAGCAAGATTATCCGACACGTAATGCCAATAACGTCAATAATAGTTACACAAGATACACGTTTCATTCGAGATTGCAAACGCTTCAGTTACAGGCTTTGGCGCTTTTGTATATAATTTATATCACACTCGTACTTTCTGACACTTCACTGCTGACCAGTGCAGGCACCGATATATTATTATTAATAATGTATTATTCACTCGCACGCGTGTACATAGCGAGTCTCACGCAAATTTCAAGCAAAACTTTCGAAATCACGGATAGTATAGAAGATCTGCTTTCGAGGATAGTCCACTAATATAATATTTATCGTTCTACTTGTGTGAAAGGCTAATAAATTTTCCGCAATATGTGCCGGTTTACTTAGATTCAGGCAATTACTTTGAAGGCACTTTTGTTTGCTGTTTTTCAGACGTTAATACCAACTTGCCGTACGAAAAGCTATGACACAGTGAGGCGTCACTTTTTTAATTTCAAGAAATTGGACATCGAGCTTTGCGCGCGACTTTAAATGAGGATCGAAAGATACATGAATACAGCACTATACTTTGCTTACGGAATTACACAATGCCTTAGAGATCGGTATCTGTCCGCAAGGGGTCGATATAAACGAATTTCTCCGCTGAAATTACAAAACAAGGGTTGTACTTAATATACTATCGATATATACGTATTATATGCATATAAGGCCCATATCTATTTTGCGATTAACAAGCTCTGCTGTAAGATAGAAGTTAAGCACTTAACATAAGAGGAGCATTTCTAGGAAAGAGAGAGAGAGAGAAAGAAAATGGAGAGAGTGGCGTACTCCCATAGTGTTGCTCTATAATATGTAAATGTAAAGGATATTATTAGGTATTTGGTTAATACATCATGTTTTTTTGTTTGTTTTTTTTCCTATAACATTGTGTAACAATCCACTCGATATTTTACCGCTTTTATTTTATATTCCTACCACATGGTACCATGTAGCATGCGAATATACGGTATGAAACGGCCGAGCATGTAAAGCACGTCATTATACCCTCTTTCCCAACAGTACAGCATACATTTACAGTGGCAAAATTATCACAATCCTAGCTGCTTGCGATTATTTTATTTTTTTTTTCATATTATCAATAATAATTTGCATGAATCGTTTTGTATTGCGATTACGTCGCATTAATATACATATATTTTTTTTTCTCTCTTGCACCTTTGTATTACGTGTGAGAATTCGAACTTTGTTGCTCTGATCGAGCCTCTCGAGCAGCTCGAACGATTCCGATTCTGCTGTATGGCATTTCCTTCGGAGTTTGAAATTCCGTCGAGTTGAGAGTTTGGACACCTCGGGATGAGTAAAACTTGGGGTAGAGATGCTATACAGCCTTTCTTTTTTTTATGAACGAAGGATTCCTCGTAGCGTCAGGGAACTGAGCTCGCCGGAATTATACCGGTTTCGGTTTTGCAAACGCAGAGCAAGAACGTTCGATATGTAAATGTGACATTTCGGAGAAGATTAGCTGTATCCGGTCGGACTTTACGATCGTGTTGAATTGGTGTATTTAAAAAAAAAAGAGAACTGGGCACGCGTAGGCCCTGCATTTACACGCGGCCGATTGGCCAATTTTGGCGCATTGGTATCTGGCCGATGGACACGTGTATCTCGTGTGTTTTCCTCACTGTAATGTGTAACAATGATGTAACAATTAGGGGGCCCGAAGGGACAACGTGGTATGCGAGTGTCCAGCTACGATCCGGATGATCCGCAAAACATGCCGGTACCACCACCGCAAAGGCGAAACACCTCTCACCAGCGCGTCGCCACGATTTCGCAAAATTATAACGAGAAAACGATGTTACTCAGCAGCGACGATGAATTTCAATAAGGCGCACGGACGCGCGTCGAGGAAAACGTGATCCACGCTCGGGAATCGTGTCGACAAACGTTACGTTACAACGCGAGACTTCCATGAACCTCTAGAGATCTGCTTTCGAGGGGGGAGGGGAGGGAAGATGCGAAGAGAAAAGCGATATATTATTAAGCGACTCGCGCGAAGTTTAATTAGAAGTAAGAACGTTCACGCGGACCTTAAATAAGGGGGAGGGGGGGAAGAATATTGCGCGGGGCATAAGAGTGCGTTGCGTTTCACTGTAATAGTTCCATAATGTTACATCCATGTTAATATATGTATTATGTTATAACATACGAGTAAAGAAATAGTATAGAAGATATTTATTTTACTATGCTGGCGTGTTTTTGAAGGCAGTGTTATCTGTACACCCGTGGCTCTACTACGACACTGCAAGAGGTATTACCCGCACGACTAATGCTTACTCTTCGTGGATAAGTATAATTGTATAGTACTTAATTTCACACACCCGCGCGCGCGCGCTACCGCGTCACCGCGGAGCAACAGTTCGTACACGGGCGACGATACTTGTTTACACTTTTGTATCCGTTTTTCATTTACACCGTTGCATTTAACAGACTTGACTTTTGCAATCTCGCATACCGTACTCGTAAGGAAGCCACTCGCGGAGCCACAGGGATACTTGCGTCCTTCTCTACGAGTCCTACCGCAAAGCTGTTCGTTCTCTTTGGTCTCTCGCGAAAGGCAAAAATTCGCGCACGTGTACATACCACCGTGGCTAGATTAGATCTGAAAATGCGAAGAGGTTGACGAGAGCTTTCCTCTTCGGCGGGAGCCTTTCGATATGAAAAATATATTAAAGAAAAAAAAAAGAAACGGAAGAGAGGAAGAGGATAAAATACTATATATAATTGTGTGCGCGAGAAGAGGACGATCGATCAGCATCGTGTCAGATAATGAATAAACATTTGGTATTCGGTGTCTTATGTGTACAACTGTGTATAATCCTTATATTTTTTTTAAGAAAAGCATAAGAGCCGATCGGAGCTGAACAAAGATCTATTTTATATGACAACACGTTGTGCCGAAATCTTTCGTCGCCGTTTAAGAACGAGGTGAGCGTGCAAATCTGTGAACAAATTTATTGTCCTATTACATCTCGTAATAAAGATAAGACACAACTACATGAATAGAACAATATTTATTTACAGTTAAAACATTTGTTAATAATACCTCACATATAGAAAATATACATATATATATATAGAATAATTTATATGTATATATAAATATACATATACACATACATACGTATATACATACCAATGTGTATATGTATATGTTTTAATTATATAATAATCGATGCTCTTTTTTTTCTTAAAAATATATTAGTCAACTCGGATACCGTATTATTAATTGTTAGAAAAATAATTTAGAATGTTATTAACAGCCTTTACTTTTTGGCAAAAAAAAAATAAAGATATAACATTGTACACGTTTGGATAAAACGGTTCATTTTTCTAATTGCAATAGCGAGAAAGCACCATCCCTGTTTGAATTCACCGAGGTCCTACGATCTACCAACCGATCCAGTACGACTTGTTGTTCGTCACGATCTTCTTCCAGCCGTGCCAGGGAGATTCCAGGTTTTCGCGGGAGGGTAACGTTTCCGGTAGCGCGTCACCGGTTTTCGACTGTACGCCCCTCGGTTTCGTCGACGCGCTCGCAGCCGATTGTTTCTCAGTTTCATTGTCGCCGTCGTCGTCGTCGTCGTCGTCATCATCGTCCTCTACCTCTTCTTCTTCCTCCTCCTCCTCTTCGATATCTTGATACTGCAACTCGTCGTCCATGTAAACGACCGAGTTGGTGTCCTCGTTATTCGCATACTTGTGATACTCCTCGGCGACGTCGCGCTTCGTCACTTTGCTCGTGGTCACCAGGGCGTTCTGAATGACCTCCAGGTCGTGGGCGGCCAGCGGAGACCGCGGCTTAATTATGGGTTTGAAGCCGATCGACCTGAGCCGCGCGACCCGTAGGTCGCTGTCGAACGCGTTCACCGGCACGAAGGCCGACGCTCTGTCCTGGAGAGGGTCCGCGTCGCTTCTGAGACTCGCGTCGTCTTCCGCGAGCGTGGCGGCAGCGCAGAAACGCGACGCTCGATAAACCTGGACCCCCTGATCGGCCACGTCCAACGCCGATTCCTTCAGCTTCTCCAGTTTGTCCCACTGCATCTTCAAGACGGCCCTCTGATCGTTCAACTGTCCAATCACGTAAACCTCCGGGTTGTCGGAGACGAGCCTGCACTGCGTCGTCGCGTCCGTCGTGCTGGGCTTCTCGTCCCGTTTCTGCGCCTTGCGAAAGCAGGGCAAACGCGACGACGTTTGAGCGGCGCGCTGCGCCAGGGGTATCGTCCGGGTCAGCTCCTTACGCAGACCCCTGTTGAAGGGAGTCTTGGCGTCGCCGTGGTCGGCCGTTTCGGTTTCAGCATCCTTCTTCCTGCTGCCGGCGCTGTTGTTGTTATGATTGCCGCGGGTCTCGGTGCTACCAGGATTGCTTCTGAGAGTCATTTGCTTCCCGATCGCACCGCCGATGTCCTTGCCGCTCGCGTGGACGGTACCGGTCATCCTATACTTGTCCTTGGCCTGTCTCTCCCCGGCGCGTTGACGGCTGACCTTGGTCAGTTTGCTCTTCCGCTCGAAGCTGGGCTTGCACCGCTTGTTAGGCGGATACATGACGGTGTTGAAGGTGCTGCAGCATCTCGCGTACGCGCTGTTCCTGCACCGTAGCCTCCTGTTCCGGGAGCCGCGCGTCGCCGGACCGAAATTGGCGTCTATCGACAGGTTGGCGATCTCCCTGTCTCGTTTCTTGTACTTGCTCTTCTTGATCGGCGAGCTGGGAAACTCCGGCTTCGATATCGCGCCCTTGTCGGCCCTCAGGCGGGTCTTGACGTCGTACGAGCTGCGGGTGTGGCGCGCGATGGTCTGCAGCGAGGCCTGCACGCGAAACGGCGATAAGTACTCGTTGTTCTCCTTGGACGCGCCGCCGCCCCGGACGCTCCTCCTGACGCTACGCTTCTGGTCGGCGTCGTTGCAGGACTGGCGTTCCTGCACTCCGTCCGCCTGCTTCGTCATCTTCCAAAACAATCTCTCGGACCTCGAGTATTTGCAGTACCGTCTGTTGTCCAGAGACGCGACGTTCTCCTTCACGTTGTCCGCCCCCTTGCGCTTCCTCCCGAGATTCGCCCTCGTCGGCGCGACTCGCTTCTCGCTCTTGGACTCCGGAGTCGTCTCTCTCTTCGACGCGTTCCACATCGCGCATTCCTCGACCGTCAGCCCTATCACATTCCCGATCAGCAGCTTGGACAGGGGATGATCGAGCTCCTTGTTGATCAAGTTCAGGATCTTGTCCGGCGTCAGCGAGTCCAGGGACTTGATGCTTTGCGCGCAGAACGACTCGCCCGGCGTGTCCAAGGAGTCGCGGCATTCGGAGACTCGAGGCGATATGCTACCGCGATCCGGTTTCCGTATCGACTCGTCAACGGTGTCGCTGGCGCTCGGGTTTTGCGCACCTCGGCGTTGCAGAGCGCTTCGACGTGGCTCCTTGCGCTCGGGCGTGCCACTCGCGCCGTTCTCGAGGCTGTTGAGCGACGAGGACATGGAGCGCGTCGAGTGTCTCAGCGGCCGAACGCTCTCCGACGAGGCTTCCCTACGCTTGTCCACGGACGGAGACGCGGCCGTGACGTGGCCGTTGTAGGAGACGGCCTCGCTCGGCTGAGAACAGACTCGCGCCTTGTCCGCGTCCGGCCTCTCGGCAGGCTTGCCGTGGGCGTCCTCCCTGGGTGTCAGGCGACTGCCCTCCGCGTCCAACGCCGTGCGAGCGGCGAGGTCGAGCAACCTGGCGGGCTTCTGCAGCATCGTCGAGACGCTCTTCTTCGCGTCCTGCGAGTTGTGCGACGACTCGTACAGGCCCATGCGTATCGAGATGTTTGTACTGTGGGTTTTAGTGGCCGACGCACCAAGGCACAGCAGCATCTTCTGATCAGGTACGGTAGCCGAGATCGCGCTCTCCGCGTTACTCGGCAGCTTCTTGAAGACGTGGCGCATGACGATGGAGCTCTCGGGCGCGGAGCGTCTGCTGGCGTCGATCGACGGTACCGCCTTGGCGACCGACAGGCCCTCGCAGCTGTCCCCGTGGCTGAGCTTCCACTTGCGGCTGCCGACGCTGACGTTGCCCGAGGACTTTCTCAGGTCGTACGCGCTCGGCTGACTCGATCTGGTCAACGGGCTGTGGCGCCGGGCGGCGGACAGCTCCTCCGCCTTGTCGGCTGCGCTGCGGCGCGACTCCTGGCCGGCGAGGCGCATCAACGCGAACTTGTTGTACCTGGTGCCATCCGGAGTCAAGCCGATCCAACAGCCTATGACCACGAAGAGCCCGTCGTACCTGTACCCTGTGTTAGGCGCGACACTGTTCTGCAGATTGTAGCTCCTTATCAGTCGCAGCGGTATCTGATTCTCGTAGTTGCGCAGGAACGGATCCGCGCTGGGCCGCTCGCCGCGGCACGCCTGGCCCGTGAGCGTCAGGTAATCGCCGAGGTCCACGTCCTCGTTGACGTTGGCGTGCGAGGTGCACACGGAGACGACGCCGAAGGGCCCCTCGTGCACGTCGGCGTCAAAGGGCTCGTGCATCCCGTCCCTGGAGCAGTCCATGCGTATGCCCCACCAGGACCCGAGCGGGAATCCCAGGACCGGGCCGTACCAGCATCTCGAGGCCTTGGGGGAAAACAGAAAAAAGAGACGCGCGCGAGACTGTATCATCGCTGCCTCGTCTATCGCGAGCTTCGCCGAGTCAAGGGACAAGAAGAGAAGAAGAAACGCCACTTACGCTCTTGTTGTACGACAGGCTCGATCTGTCAGAGGGCGAGTTCAGCGGGTTCGCTTCCACGGCCTGGTTCAGCTTGCCGAACAGCTTGCTCAGATCCTGCCTGACCCGGCCCTTGCCCTAGACGGAGAGAGAGAGAGAGAGAGGAGTAGAAGAAAACAGAAAACACGTGAGCCAGCCGACGCGCGGACGGCGACAGCGCGAGAACCGGAGCAGCCAGCGGGGGACGATCCCCCGGCTCGCGGGGGCGGGAGGGGGAGAGGGAGAGAGGGGGGCAGGACGATAGCCCCTGTGGCGCAATACCTGATTCTTAATTCGCGCCTCACGCAGCCTCCTCTCGTTCTCCTGAATCGTGTTGGCGCACACGGTCCTCGAGGCGCCGCCGCCCGCCCTCGCCATCTTCACGGGCGACGGGGGGGAAGGAGCACCGCGGTTTCGGGGGCGAGCCGCACGCTGGGGACGCGTTCTCTCCGCGATCGGCTCGGCACGCTCTCCATTCGGACCGCGCTCGGCCCGTCGTCGTCCCCGCGTACGCGCGCGAATGCAAATGGCCGCCGCTATCGCGCCCGTGTGCGTGTCCCCCCCCCCCCGTCGATAACCGCCTCCTCGCGCGCCCGCGATAACTTTACGATGTAAACACGCGGCGGTCGCGCGCGCAAGCTGCACCCCCTGCACTCGGCCGCGCCGTCCTCGTCTACGTCTCGCGCGCGTAGCGTCGGCCGTCTCGCTCCGAGGCGCGGCGATCGCACCCCGCGCGCGCGCGCGCGTTTGAATGTCACACCGTGAGGGATCGGCGATCGCTCGCGGGTTCAAATCGCGCGGAGATTCTCGCGCGGAACCGCGCGGCGGGTTTTTCTTTCTCCCCCGCCTGCGCGCCCCGCGTCGATCGGGGAGCGAGCGATAAACGCGCGTGGGAAACGAGACGTAACGGAGAGAGAGAGAGAGAGAGAGGGGGGGGGGGAGGGAGCGCGCGATTAAAAAGCGATTAGTGATAGATCGACGAACCTAGGCAGCGAGCGTTTCTATCGAAAGCCCCCGATCGGCGCCGACGAGGCTCGGTCTCTCTCGGCGACGCGCGCGCTTTACTTCGACCCGAGTTGAAATCGTACACCTCTCGTCCCTCCGAGAGGGAATAGTTTTGTTTGGAAAGAGACAAAGGGGCCGCGCGAGAGACGAAGGTTGGCGAAAAGTCGCGCGAGAGTAGGATCGATCTCGACGGGGCGAAGGACGCGTTTCACGCGGGCCTCGTAATTCGGCGCGAGATCGATGCCGAATCCCCCGAGAGAGTGAGAGAGAGAGAGAGAGAGAGAGGGGGGGAGAGAGTGGGAGGGAGAGAGGTTGGCAGGAAAAAGGGACGTTTTCCGGGCAGGGGCAGATGGAAACGGGGCCTTCGGGGCGAACGGAAATGGGCGGCGCGTTGGAAACGGCGGCCGAAGGAAGGCGGCCCCGGTGCGGCCCGCAGCCGCGAGATGGCGCGGTACATGCGACGCTGCTTTTGACGTTCGCATATGAGTTTTTTTTGGTTGCCTCCACTTTGAAAACGGCAGGAAGTGATTTTTCGTAGCGCGCCGCTCAGTCCACGTACGAACGATCGAGGATGTGCCGTGCGGTGTTAGCCGCGACGCGAGCCGTTCGACTAATCGGTATTTCGATTTCGAGTACGTAGTACTTGGCCCCGTAGCGAGGCGCGCACGAGGTCCCGCGATTGGCCAGTTTACGAAAACGACGATGGCTCCGTGAGGAGAGGAGAACATGGCTGCGACGCAAGCCGAGAGCCAACAAAACGATGTGAAGCTGAACGAGTCCGTGAAATGCGCACAGAAGCGTACGCAAGTCGGTGGGAATAGTGCGAGTGCTAGTGCGAAGCAGCAGCTGGATTCCGAGCCGGACGATAAAGTGTCCCGGGGCGCGGCCCAGCTGCTTAAATATGTGAATCGCGGCGGGGACACGACGGGCTACGACATGAGTCAATACCGCGAGGACATTGGCGGACACACTGCCGCCGGTGAGGTAAAATCGCCGCGCGAGGTCGGCCAGCCGGTCCAGGAGCCCGTCGGCAAGCAGGAGACGCACGACGCGCCCGGCCACCCGGGCCACCCGGGCCACCCGTACGCGCCAAACGTGATACGCGACTACCCGGACGAGTACAGCAACAACAAGTCCGGCGAGTTCGCCGCGGCCAAGTCGCTCGCCGACTACCCGCCCGGCAAGCAGCTCCCGGACTACGTCGCCAAGCACACGGACTTCCCCGCCAAGCAGCTCGACTATCATGGTAAACACTTGATGCACGACACCGAGCGGACCCACCGGGCCGAGATGGAGGAGCACTACTCCACCTCCAAGATCGAGTCGAGGCTCTACGTCGGTGCCGGCGCACCAAACTTCTCCGGCCAGCAGAGGTTCCTCTCGGGCCAGGGTATGTCCCAGACCGCCGGCCCCACGCCTACCCTCAACCAGTTGCTGCAGGCGTCCACGCCGGTCCATCGGTTTCACGGCAATTACCCGGGAATGGGGCCCGACTATCAGCAGCCGTGGCCCATGCAGAGGCCGCCGGTCGTGCCCCCGGTTTATCCCCAGTCCGGCCAGCGTCCTCCGCAGACGGTAAACCAATTCAGTTCGCATACTCCACCGTAGGTTAAGCCCGCGCCGACCAACCTGCGCCCCCGACGCTGCTCGCCGCGCGCTTTAGATCTAGCCCAACGCGACTCTAATTCCACCTTTTCCAAACCACCAGGGCTCGCCGAGATTACACACGGGGCCAGGGGCCCAGAGTTCTCCGACACCCATGCAATATCAACAGTACACCCAGCGATATTCCTCTCCTACGAGACCGCACGCGCCCTACAGTCATCATCAGGTAAAGTTGCTCGTGGCTCGCGCACGCCGACATCCAGGAGCGCAGGCCAGTTCTACATGGCGCTTCCTCTGTTTTAGCTAAACTCTTATACGACGCAAACCAGTCATCCCTCAAGCCTGTACACGGAACAAAGGGGGTGGAACCAAGGCGGTCCGCCGAATCCGCCTCCACCGCCGAGTAATCAGGTCACCCCGTCGGGTCAGTCGCCACAGCGTGCTTTGTCTCAGTCCCCGGCTCCGCCGCCTGCTGCGTCACCGCAGCCGCAGGCCACCGGCCAGTCCCAGGTGAACATTTCAGCGGCTCGATCGTCCTCCAATGTCGCCGGGACGCGTATCGGGATTTGTCGCTCTGTACAATTACTTTGCCAACGTGCACGCCGATGTCTGTGCACGCGCGAGAATCGAGTACTTGTTCCGGAAGCGGAAGGTGTAACGTGGACCTCGAGACAAGTCGCCTACTGCGAACGAACCCGCTGTAACAATTGCGTTTATTTTGTCCCAAGCTCGAGAGAATGTGTCTTGTAACGCGACACGTGCGACAACGTACGAATTGTTCGCGTCTAAATTAACGGTAGTCGAGAGTTTTTTTGACTCGTTCGAGGCGTTTGGAAGATACGTGCGTGCGATAGAATCCTAGAAACGTACGGCTTAAAGATGCATGCGTTTTACGGTGTATGTAAGGCCAAGATGATTGACGGCATTGCGTCTCTTTTTAGGCTTTCCACAATATGCAGCAGCGAGCTACAACACCAAATACTCAAGGAATTGACTCTGGGGTGAGTTTACGCATTACGTGACTAAAGCATTAGCTCCCTCCCGAAGGAGAGAGAGAGAGAGAGAGAGAGAGAGAGACACGTCGACGGCGCGCCCTTCCTCTCGGGGCTCGAACACGGAGACGTGTATGTGTGCGGGAAGCGAAGCTTAAAGTATCCGGAACGTAGCAAACAAGTTTTTGCACCGGCGATTGCATAATCCCCGTCGTGGCGGGAATGATTGTCGTGGAGGTTTCACGTGCGACTCGCTTCGATTCTGCTCTTCCGCCGCGGCGCGGAGGCTGCCACGGGCTGTCGGGAATTTCATCGAGATTCGCGCGCGTGCGCCGCCGCCGACGCCGCCGAGGGTCCCGCCGATCCTCTCCGTACCGCCCGACGAGCGTCGGGGATGGGATCGAGAGGCGAGAGTTTTCCATCTTGCGAAGCGCTACTCTGTCTCTACGGCCGCCTCGGTGGCCGCTCAAGTACTTTCCCGACGAAAAGAGCGAGCGAGAGTGAGCGAAAGGGTGGCCCCTCGCCGACCGCGCGGCGGCGAGGGGGATCAGGAGGCCAAGGAGGTGGCGGCGGAGAAGGGGAAGAAGAAGAAGGAGAAGAAGCGGGAGAAGGAAAGGGAGGATGAACAAGGAGCGGACGAGCGTGAGGGGAGGGCAGGAGCGGACCGCGCACGGCGGTGGTGGGGACGGAGAGTATACGGCTCTCCGTGGAGTTCGATTAGGGCGCGAGTTGCGCGGCCGCCGGAGCCCCAGATATTAGCGGACCTCCCCGCCGTGCTTTCCCCTCCGCTCGTGCTCCTGTCCCTCGCCCCGGGGTTACCCGTCCCCACTGCGCCGCGCGTTTACATGGGCGGGTGAGCGAAAGAACCGCGCGGGCGACACGGATAACACCGAGCGCGGACGGCGATTGGCCGAGATCGGCGGCGGCGACGGCGGCGATCGTCCCCCCCCCACTGCCGCGCGCGCCGACGACGTGACGTTTTGTATTGCGCTCGGCTATATTCGGTACGCCGGATCATGCGACTGTCACTCTGCGACACGCCATCGGGCTTCTTGCGCTCCCACGGCGGCGGCGGTTTCCCGAATCGCAATCGCGATGTACCGTTCCGCGAAACGCAACAAACTCCTCTCGCTCGCGCGAGAGAGAGCGGGATTATTATTGTAGGATCCGCGCGCGACGCCCGCCCGGCACGCCAGGCTTCCGGACGCCGTCGTTCGCGGCATCGAGCCGCGTCCCAGGGCGCTCGAGAGAGAAGGAGAGAGATAGGGGGAGAAAGAGAGAGAGAGAGACAGACGAGCGCGCGCCCCGGGATACTCACCACCGCGAGATAATATCCCGCGAGATGCGCGACGAGGGGAACAGGACAACATCGTCGGCCCCGTTGGCTCGGCGGCCACCAGGGCGGATCTTTAACCGCGCGAATCGTTCGCGGAGTACATGCGCTCTCGGCGCCGTCGCGGCGGTGCCCGCCATGTTACTCCGGCGCGCGGCGGCCGCCTGCGACGTTATGAAACGACGAGGAAGGAGCGCGCGAGAGGGAAACGATTCGCCTTCGCCCGCGAGCGAGATCGATCTCTCCGCGGTAACGACGGCGGAATTTTCGCGCTACTCCGATTCTCGCGGCCGTGTCGTCTTCTAGGGAGGGAAAAAAAACAAAAAAAAAAGCAAACGTCGGGGTTGGGAAAAATTACGTTTCCATGGCTCCGTCGCCCTTCGACGGATTCGTCGGAGCCGTACGTGGTGAACGCGCGTCCTGAGAATATAGGCGGAAGAGAGAGAGAGAGAGCCCGCCGAGAAATAATATCCCGGGGAAAAACCCGCGATGGCGCGTAAACGGCCGTAAACGGCAGAGACTTTATGCACGGTCACGGTGCGCGGTGTACGGTCAATAAAACGTCGATGTATCGGCAGCGGTGAGAGACCGGGAGCGGGTCGGGACTCTGCGCGACTCGCCGCGCGCGGTCTCGGGCCGCGCGCAGAAACGACGCGAGCGAGACGCGGGTAGCAGACGATCCAATGTATAAAAGCACGGCTGATGGGAACACATGGGTATTCGGTCTGCTACAGGTGATCTCGCGCCGACCGCGACGCTCCGGGGAGTCAGCCCGGGGGTTTTACGTACGACGGGAGCCCGCCGGCCGATCCCGACCTTCTTTAACGTTCGATCTGATGTACAAGGTGGTCGCTTCTGTATCTGACGCTACGGCGAAAATGCTGAAAGCGAGTAGACTTGACTCCTTCCGCCTGTCTCCTTAAAAGAGAGAGACAGAAAGCCTCACTTTTGGCATCTTCGTTGTATCATAAGACACAGAATTGACCACCTGGGCGTCAATTCTGTATCTCACACTATAGTGAAAATGCTGAAAGCGAGTAGACTTGTTCTACTTCTGTCTCCTTAAAAGGAGACAAAGCCTCACTTTTAGCATCTTTATTAGAGAGGGTGTCTCGTTTTAAATGATCCACGCAAATGTCTCCAATAATATTCCAACACATAAAATTTAAATGGTATATTTCATCAAATTACCATATTGATATAAAAAAAAGTTTCAAATTTTAGTCGACCTCGGCTGGCCGCATTTATTGAATACGCCCTCACAACGTTTCGACCTTTGGTTTAGGTCCTTTTCAAGTGAGATCTAGGAGTAAATGTTTTACACAAAATTTACGCGAGAAGTATAAACGAAATTGTACAGCATCACGGAAAGATTGTCGGCCTACCTTGTTACGGAGTTTGTCAAATGAAATTACAGCGACAATTTGGCGAGCGGTGCTCAGAAATAAGAGCCATTTCACTAACGTCCGGAGTCGATGATTGTAAGACAAAGACTGATTAGTTATTTTCATATTCAGAGGTCGGGTAACAAACATGCACGTATAAGAAAAACACACCAAGTCAATCAGAGATGTTTTCAGACCAAGCTAATAATTTTGTCATATATCGGATTAAAATTGTTCGTGTCATAAAATTTACATGCACAAAAATTTGCACTAATTGGAGCATTGTTGCAACAGCGTATTCCTGAGACTAAATCAAGTAAAAAAAGTCCCGTACTACGTTTTCCTCCGACAAACAGTTATCGAGATATCATAAGCTAAACATTGAAAAAGTTATAAATTTTCTCTTGGATATCTCAGAAGGTATTAGACAAATCAAAAAGTGTTTCAGACAAAAGTTGTTCATATTAATTAGTAGAATAAGATAGTACAATAAACAATAGGGGGTTTCGTTTAAAATATTGAAGGTGACCTTTACGTGACCTTCAAATGACTATTCAAGGTCAAGTCAATGGTACCACCTTATGTCCCCCTTCGAATGAAACAACTTTTGTTTGAAAAGTTTTTCCGTATCTTTCATATTTTTGGAGATATTTGCCTGGATCATTTAAAATGAGACACCCTGTATTATAAGATACAGAATTGACCCCAAGGGTTAGAAGGAAATCAATTTTGAAATTTAAGCGACGCGAGCTGCATTTCACTAGTAAAATGTATGGTAAAAATTCAGAGGACTCTCACGAAGTTCCTCAAAACGCCACGTTGTCTCGCGATTACGATCAGGATAAGTGTTAAGGGAAAATTCTCTTCGTGTTATCAATGCACTTATTCGATTGGGGAGAGAGAGAGAGAGTTGCGGAACGATTTCTAATGTTTCTAAGATTTATTAGTATTCCAGCGCCGACAGGATCCAATTACGCGTGGTCATGTTTCGCGTACGCTTTGAACTCGTCCTTCCCCGCGACGCGGAGACGGAGGGGGCCCCGGGGCTTCGGCCGCCGATCGAGAGACAGGAGTCGCGGACAATCTCGCCGAAATCGTCGCGCTTTTTCCACGACCGGCCCGATATCCGACCTCCCGCTCTTTTTCTCTCTCTCTCTCTCTCTCTCTCGCTCTCGATAAATAGATGGAGTTGAATGAACCTCGGATTCAGTTATTGTCGCAGCCAACGGGATAATAACATTACGCCGACCGACAGATAAAAATAATGTTACGTAACCGGAGCGATTTCGCGCGCTCTCCCGAGAACGCGGGCGAATGTGTGCCGCCGCCACCCCCCCTCCCCCCCCCCATCTTTCCCCTGCCGNGTTATTTAGTTTTTCATGNCGCACGTCTCGGC